CATCACGCTTTCGCCGAACAATGCCAGCTTCCCTCTGTAGCTGTGACCTGTGGCCAGTTCATATGATGTTTTTCCTGTTCCTTCCATAACTCGAAACCTGTTGATCAAGAAGGCTGCATGTTTGAATGCCCATGGGTACAGGTGAAAGTTGCCCAGAATGTCAATGTTCGCCTTTTCACCTGCAAATGCTCTCATGCAGTTTGCCAAGCGTCTCACTGTTTGCACCGCTCTCTCAGCCAATCCATTCGACTGATGTTGGCCTGGTCCTGTCAACCTTATCTGTCTCTAGGCACATGACCTTCCTGACTTGTTGCACTGCTCTCAAAATCTGTCTTGTTGCCCTCTCGGAGTCAGCCTGCAAAATGCACGCGTCTCTCGAGGCATTCTCCAATGTGAACCTGATAACTTCCTCTGTGATGTGTTTGAGACTCGCAGTGCCCTTGCTTTGAACTGGTACAACATGAATTGCTTTCGTTCGCTCGAAGCCATGATAAGGCATGTACCGAACTGGTCTTGCCTCTCTTGCACTTTATCTGGTGCCTTCTGATCTTCCATCCTCCTTTCTTCCCCTGTGTACGTGTAGAAGAAGTCCAGCTCAATGACATTCTTTCCCAACTCTGGTTTCTTCTTTTCGGAGATGTGCTTATCTTCCTTTGCACGGCTCGCCATGCATGCTTGGCACCATGGAGCGTATGGCCAATGGGTGACGAAGTGCAACTCCTGCTCCTTCAATGACGGAAGCTTGGGCTGCCCCAACGTCATGGGCTTCCTCTGATTTTCTTTGAAGAGCTTGTTGGCAATGCTCAGCTGCAACTTGTTCTCCCAGTCAATCTTGAATGCAATCAGGCGGGCTAATATCCTTTTCTTGCTTCCTGAATATGGCAAACCTCTTTCTGTACACGCTAGCTGCAGCTCCTTGACTGATGACTTTTCATTGAACACCACCTCGTCAAGCTCAACCTCATCCGTCTTCTCTGTCAGGATCATCTTCTCGATATCCTGGGCTTCCCACTGTTCCTCCAGTTCTTCTGGGTCTTCTTGCTCTTCCTCTGACCATTCATGGTGCTTGATCTCACCTTCTGGCTCTGGGTATGGAAATGTCGGGACTTCGGCATCTTGCTCCCAGTAGTCCTTGAGGCGACTTGGGGAGAAGAAACTCAGGGTTCTCTGAGGATTCTGATCCGTGGTGATCCTCCTGAAGGCTTTGTCACCAAGGCTGGTGTAATCTTCAACATTTTCTAACTGCCTCCACATGCCATCTTTGTCTTTCATGAGTGTCATCCTTGACTTCCACTCTCCATCAACACTTTGCCTTGCATCTGCCAGCCTGATAGCGACGGGGTCGCTGTACACGATGACTCCGTTCGGTAGCCGGTGCCACCCTGGGGACAGTTCGAGCTCCTCCACATATTTGCTCAGGAAACCTCTAAGCACATACACTCTCACACAGTCCTCCTTCTGGCTGACCTTTTCGTTCTGCTTCTCCACCTCGATGCCAAAGATTCTAGCCTCGAATTGGAGGGAATTCCTTTCTGTGTTGATTGGGATCTTCAAATTCCGCTCTTCGTGGAACAGGAACATCTTCCCGTCACTTCCTCCTGAGATGCTCCAACCTCTTCTCCAGAGTCGACCAGCGCACAGTATGGGGTGTTGGACGTTCCCCAATACGAACTCTTCTATCAGCTCAATGTCTTTTCCTTCACTATCCTCAATCTTGATCTTTGCTTTTGTCAGCCCTTGATGGGCTATCTTTGTGCCTTGTGCGTCCACCATCTTCAACTTTTCTGAACCTGGTCGCCAAGTTCCAACCTCTCCATAGTGTAGTGGTAGGACTGAAACATCTGCACCACTGTCCAGCGTGACTAGACAGCTGTCCTGGATGACCGCTTCCACCTTCACCATTTGGATGAACTTGGCTTCTTTCTCTTCCACTTCATGCATTTGCATGTCCATTGCAATCACAGGAACGTGACTGGGTGTCCACACAACAGGCTCCTGGCAGTCAAAGAACTCCTCTTCGTTGAGCTCCTCATGGACTGCATTCACTCTCCAAGGGCGCTGAATTTCTTCGACAACCTCTTCATACTCCGTAAGGTCAAAGATCTCCGTGGCTTGCTCCTCAACTCTTACCATCTTCACCTGCGTGGTCTCTCTCGTCGCTGTGGCTTGTCCTGACGATGAGCTTGCTGCTCCACCAGGGTTTTCTTCCACTTGTTGCACGCGTTTCCAACACTCTTTTGCCATGTGACCTTGTTTGCCACAAATGAAGCATCCTCCTGTCTTGCCCTTTGTCCCTTTCTCAGCATTCTTGCCTTTCTTTCCTTGTCCCTTCTCCCAAGCACTTTTGCCTTTGTCGAAAGACTTCCATAGCCCTTTGCCTTCTTGCTTCGGCTTTCCTTTATCCTTACCTTTTGCTTTGCCTTTCCCGTCCTTTCCTTTCTTTCCTCCTCTCTTTCCTTTGTCATTGGCCTTCCCAATGTAGTCTACTTCCATGGGTGTGCTTTCGTCTGCACTTGCCCTGGTCGGCAAAGACAGACTGTTGCTTGCATCCCATCGTGTAGAGAGCGATTCCAACTGCATCACCTTCGCCTTCAATGAGTCGTAGGTTGTACTGTCATCGACCCACAACTGAAGATGTTGCTTCATGTAGGCAGGGCATCCTTGCAGGATTGAGGCTACCTTTGCATCATCAGCATAAACATGTCCACTGATGCGCTCATATTCTGTGACAATTGCTTCGTATTGAGGGAACTGTTCACTCAATGATTTTCCCTCAGCAAATTGTACTCTTGACAGCTGGGTGAGCAATGCGAGGCTCCTTGCTCTTGTCGCTGGCTGCATTTCTTTCAACAGCAACTGCCAAGCGCCAAATCCATTCTCCTGCTTGATGTGCTTCACCAGCTTCAGAGGGCGGTTTCGAAGGTATGATGTGAGCACACTGTATAATCTCACTGACATCGTCTTCATGTCGTCAGTCATGTCGTCAAGGGTGTAGTCACTGTTGACCTTCTTTTCTACCACATCCATAGCTGCTGCCATTGCTGGATCTATTCCTCGGATGTAGCTGCAAAATGCAAACTTCCAATCACTCCACATCTTCAATTCATTGTCTCTCGTGTCCGGTTTGAACACATCGGGAGGCTTCAAATGCCTCGACTAGGACTGCGAAGCCTGGTTTGAGCTCAACTTTTCAAGAGCTGCTGCTACCAACTTCAAACTCTCCTCTGCCATCTTTTGCAGTTGCACTGCCTTTGGATAGTAGCACCTGGAGGTAAGGTGTGCACCGTCCTGTTCGATCTCGAATGGTATGCCGCTGTAGTTGAGGACTTCCCAAAACTTCCACTGGCTTACCAAGGCACCAATTTGTCCTTCTTCAAGATCTTCTCTTGTTGCCTCTAACTTGTCAAGAAACTGCCAGCTCGCAGGAACAATCACTATGAGCTCGCGGCAATCCCTCTTCTTCCTCTTCTTTCCTCCTTTCTCCCTCACCAGAAGACTGGCCTTGGCTGCTCTATCACTTTTCAGCCACTTCAATTTGCCAATGTACTCGTCGGCCTCCACGTAGATGCTGTGGAGGGTTCTTTTCTTGATCTTCACAGGACCGGCAGGCCCTGATCCGCTCTGGTAATAGCAGATCTCCCGGTGGGTTCCTCCAACTGCGAACCCTCCGGCCAAGCAGGCCAGGATTAACAGCTCGCAGAGCCAAACTCCCTTCCAACTCGAAGATGTGGTCGCGGCCGTCGGCCGCGTCGTCGTGCACGTGTGCGGGAGCCCTGGCTCTTACGGCCAGGGCTCCGCTACCATGAAAAGCAAGTTGCGCTCCTTTTCAACGGGGATTTGGGCCTGTAAGGGTAGCGGACGCGGATGTGTGTGAGTGACCTGTCTGGACATCATGTGGATTCTAATAGAATATGTAGATGAAGATAATAGACGATGTATTGAATAGAGCAGATGAAGAAATAAATGCCAACATAGAAGAAGACAAAGATAAAGATAGTATATTAGGAATACAAGCATTTCATTTTAGATTAAAAATTAATGAAGATATTTACTACAAACACATATTTGAATTATGGATTTGTAAGATCGGATGATTAAAGGTTAAGGGTTTATCTCTATTGGTGTCTGCCGTTTTGTCTTATATATTGTTCTTTGCTTGGTTTGTTTTTGTTTTGTGTTGTTTTAGGAGTTCTTGGAAAAGACATTTAAGAAGATAATCATACTTATATGAAGATACTGTGTTAAAGATTTACCAACTGGTTTCTTTGAAGATGGATTGAAGACTTGTAAGAAATGCTTGGAATACAAGAGAAAGAACTATGACAAACATAAAGATAAAGTGAATGAAACACGAATAACTAAGTATTAAAAAACATGAAGAATATAGAAAAAAGAAACAGGAACAACTACAAAACTATCGTGATAAAGTTGCCTTTTGTAATTGTAATTCATCAATGAAGGCACACTGTTATTCAAGACATTCAAAGCAGAGAAGCATAAACGGAATTTAGGAACGGTTGATGGATAGGATTTTGTAAAATGAATAAGGTGTTAATGCTTTTGACTGCTATGATGTTGAGAAATGAATGAGGTAAGTATGCGTTGACTGCTATGATTTTGAAAAATTGAATGAGGTAATTGTGTTTTGACTGCTATGATTTTGAAAAATGAATGAGGCAAGTATGCTTTGACTGCTATGGTTTTGAAAAATTGAATCAGGTAATTATGCTTTGATATTGTTGAGAAAAATGAAGCAATCAGCAATATTTATACTGACTTTTTGAACTGTTACGTTGTTTTTGAACAAATTTTGATTTGTTTACATTTTTTCCCCCACACCCCCTTTAACTCACTTCGTTCGCTCCCCTACCTCAAGCCTAGCCTATCGGCTGGCTTTCGTGAATTCTACCATGATTCAACGAAATGAAATGCAAAAACCACAATGCGCAAGATGATTACAGTAAAATAACAATGAAAGCGTTTTTTGACGTCGAATTCACCTGCACGATCTTCACAAAGGCAGGGCCAAGATCTGTGATCAGCTCCTTCGCCTCTCGGGCACGTTGCGGAGCCATGGCCTCCTGCGAAACAGAACGCGCAGAGAAGCAGTTCAAAGTGGTTTCTTGCTCCTAGTAAGAATGCTCCTAGTAGCGATGCCAGGAGCCCCTAGTGGCTTCTTGTTCCTAGTAGTGCAGAGAAGCGGTTGGGGTTTGATAGCAATGGCCTCCACCTAACAGCGTCCTTGCTACTAGTAGCTTCTTGTTACTCGTAGTAATGGCCTCCAACCTAATAGCTTCTTGTTACTAGTGAAGAGTTCCACGTTCAGCCCAAACAACTTAATTAGTCTCTATTCAATTCTGCAACTTCAAATCTTGCCATACGCTGCAGATCTGTTTTTGAACGCTGTATTTCAGTCTGACCAAGTCCGTCCACCAACGTTCAAATCCACAATTGTTTGTTGGCCCGCTGCCCATCCCTACTTATTTAATTCCATCCCCTTTGTTTTCGCGAACAAGAACCATGCGACGACCAACGACCGACAACGCCGTCTGTCGAAGTTCGCTCCTCCCGACCGAAGAACTTGTCGAGCTCTACAGCCACACTGAAGGCACCAGTTTTCAAGGACACCTCCACGAAACCTCACGGAAGCAATCTCTATATACATGCATATGAATTGGGCGACGCAGGAAAACATGTCAAGAGTGAGTAATATGGAAATAGAACATGGGAGGCAACTGCCTTTGGAGCATTCCTTGAAGTGTAGTTTCCTTTCTCTAGCGTTCATTCGGATATTGTCCCATATTATATCTTAGATGAGGTTGATTCAAGCATATTCAAGCCATGCAGTTCCAGGAACGTTGCAACAACTGCAGCGGGCGGCGCTGCCAGTAGGCTGCGATCCAGGCGCCATCGTAGCGCAAAGGCAACTCCTGACAAAGTTGGATCGAAAGATTGACTGAAGGAAACGCAGCAGTTGTTTTGTCCGTGGGTTGTGAGCAGTAACTAGCAGTTGTTCCATGGACAGAACGGGATGGCCGAGCTTTCTTGAGAATGTTCTAGTCCAATTTTGGATGTGAGTCATTGCCTCTTGAGTACCCCATCTTTCACCGGCCCAAGCCCAGAACAATGCCTACCAAAAAAAAAAAGTGCCTTTTTCAGTGGAGTCTCAGAGCCTAAAAGAAGAGGGTTAAGGAGGCAAGCAGGCAAGCATCGCTTGCCAAATCGCATTGGCATCAATATTCTGCCCAAATGGCAAGGCTGCACACTGCACACAGTTCTAGTCCAACGGTCCAACCCACAGCCTCCAACCACGGCTGACGGCCCCGCCGCAGCGCCAACAGCGCCACCACGAGCACCCCGCAGGCCGTGGGGAGGACCACTGGTGAGGCCAAAAGCATTGGAATCGCCGACCTCGGGGCCACGACGGACTGGCAATAGAAGAGAGGGACCAGAAGTCTTGACTTCAAAAAGAAGAACCTTGCATTAGGAACAAGAAGCTACTAGCAGCAAGGTGCCTTACTAGTAGGAACAAGCTACTAGTAGCGAGGCACGTTGCTACTAGTAGCTTCTAGCTACTAGATGCTACTAGTCAACTTAGTTTGCAAGAAAACATTGCATCTCTCAAGAAATCGGGCCTGGACGCCCAGCCCTCGAGTCCGAGGCCCCAACTGCAAGTGTTGGATGGTCTCGGTGATCTTGAAGTCTTTAGCCAGAGCCTTGTCATGAATATTCATTTGCAGCAAATATGTGCAGCTGCTGCAGCAACCACAACGCACGAATCGTGAACGCAAGCAAGATTCCATGGCAAATTCACATGAGAAAGAAGCTGGTAGAGTATACACCAGTAAAATCACAAAGCTTCACACCGTGAATGCAACCGCTGGTTGTCGCCTGCAACTGCTGCAGGTCGGGCAAAGAAAGTGCAGGATCTTCCTTTGGCCTTGCTGCGGTCTGGCAGCGGACGATCATCTCGCGTGCTATGGAAGCAGGAAGACATAGGCAGAGAGAACCAGAGTACAGTAACTGAGCTGTAAAGCCTCCTCCAATATCACGTCTTCTGCTACTCCGGCAGCTCTTTCTCGGGTCCAAACATCACGCCGGCCATACGTCCCAAGCGCTCCGCCAGAGGCGTTAGCCCAGCGCGGCCAACGCCTCATGGATGGAGGAATTGGTCATGGAAGACTCAATTACACTGTTGACGTGCGACTGGCTCGATCAAGAATGTACGCAGCCTGCACAGCCAGCTTACGGAACCTCCACAGCGCGCACAATCAGCTGACTCCAGCACCGGTGTGCTTTGCCGGCTGACAACACCGGCAGCGGCGCCAGCACCCGACCAGCGCTGCCGCCGCCCGTCTTAAACGCGAGCTCAGCCAGCTCACAGCACCAGCGCCCAGGACCACAACACCAGCACCGACACCCTTTCGAAAGCGCGCGCAGCCAGCAGCAAGAACCTCATAGCTATCCCTATTTGGGGAATAAAACGCATGATCTTGCGCGTATAAGGTTGCGCGCGCTAAAGTATGCGCGCAAACAGCAAAGCCCGTAAGTGTCGGCCAAGCAGCATCCAGCACCACTATTGACTTTGTAGCATGCTTGAAGCAACGATCTGCAGAACGATAAGGCCGTATTGATCTTGCGCGTATAAGTTTACGCGCACAAAAGTACGCGCGCAAACGGCAAAGCCCGTAGGCTTCACTCGCCCGAGGCCAGCAGTATCCAGCACGACTATTGCGTGTGTAGCGTGCTGAAACATGCTGAAACAATGGTCGGTTGAGAGCCTGACGTTGCGCGTAGAACATTATACGTACAAAAGTATGCACGCAAACAGTGCAGCTCTTGACACAGCTGTCGGCCAAAACAGAACCTGAAGAGTGCAAATACCCCGCAGCGCTAATAGAGAAAGAACGCTCAAGCGACAACACCGTATGATGTTGCGTGCATAAGTTCATGCGGCCCATGACTGCTGGCACTTCATTGTCAGAAGCGGCGCTTGGTCGCCCTTCACTGCTGCAAGCGGCGGTTTGTTACCCTTCACTGTCAGAAGCGGCGGTTGTTATCACTTCACTGTCCGAAGCGGGCACCAGCACCGAGCACCGGCATGCCAGCACCGGCGCCCAGTCTCCACCACACGCACTGCCAGCCCACAGATCCGGCACCGGCGCCCGCTGTCTCTACCACGCGCGCTGCCAGCACCCAGCACCGGCACCGTGTCTCCACCACGTGCACAGCCAGCTCACAGCACCAGCACCAGCACCGGCACCCGGCACCCAGCACGATCACCGGCACCAGGCACCAGCACCGGCACCCGGCACCAATACCAGCAACCTGTCTCCACCACGTGCACAGCCAGCTCACCGGCACCCGGCACCCAGCACCCAGCACCAGCAACCTGTCTCCAACGTGCACAGCCAGCTCACAGCACCGGCACCCAACACCAGCAACCTGTCTGGGAAGCGCGCACGGGCAACTTATTGTTATTTGAAGTAAGAACCCCATAGCTTCGCTATCTGGGGAAAAATGGAACTTCACTTGGTTGGTTGGTCTGCTATGGTCTGGTGAAAATGGATGCCGTTGGTTGTGATGCGCTGTGTCTGAGTAAATGCTTGGTTAGAAACCGTTGGTTCTTGCCAACAAAGCCCTACATTGGCATCTTCAATGGATAGTCAGGACCCAAGCCTTCCGGGCTGTGCCACTCGTTTCACCCATGCAATCAACAAACTATACATCGTCGAACCTTACAAGTTGACAAGAGAATTATATATGGCTAAGACTGTCCAGTTCACTGTGGCTGGTCTAAACTCTGTTCATTCCATTGGTAGAACTTAAATCACTGTTGAGAAAAGCAAAGGGAGGGTTCTACCATGTGTCACCATGGCCAGAACAGCAAAGATGAACAGTTCGCTGCGATTATGGATTTGTCGTGTAATGTAAATCTGTTCAACCTTCAGGTTTGCCGGTGTGCCTCGCCGTCGCGCCTGACGGCGCGAATGCACCGCCACCAGCAGCACGCCGACCGCGGCAATGGACCTCAGAAGATGGGCTTGATACCATAATTGCTTGACCTTGTTTGTAGGGGGAGCACTGCAAGCTGTGCACCTTAAAATGAGTTCAACAAAATCAAGGTAGACATGGAGCTGCATTACATTGTGTAAAGCACTCAGCAACTCAGCTATTGAGTCTTCAGGATCTCCACACTTAGGTTACAAAAAGAACAGTCACAACAAACAAGTCAATTTCCACAATCGTTTCAACTGGTTTCAAATCTCTCAAGAATGTCATGCACTCTTGCAAAGGTTCTTCATTCCAAGTACTTGCCTTCAACATCCTGAATATCGGGTCGGTATGTGCACACTCTCACCCGCCTTGGCCTCGCTGGCCCAGCATTGACTGTGTTCAGAGGCCGGTTTGGAGCTCCATTTGTCTTTGGGGACACTGGTGATCCATGAAGTGCAGGGATCCCCTGAGCGAGAGAAATCGATGGCATTGATTGACCTGAACAGATTACCTCCCGAGACAGGTTTTCCGAGGCTTTTCTCTTGTTTCTACACATCTTCTTCTTTGAATTGTCCTCACCCAGTTGATGGACAAAGCGAACCCTTGCGAAGCACCCTTTGCGATCTAAGATTCACAAGTTCAATTTCACTCCAAACGCACACTGTACATTTAAGACATCGCCCGCAACTCAGGTTTGTCACCTGCCAGCCAGACGAAGCTGCGGCAGCCATGACCGTCTAAAATCGAAGAGCTGCTGAAACTGCCAGGATCCATGGTGATCCAATTGATCTGATAGAAACAGTCCAATTAACGCCTTGACAGGCTCTGTGTCTAGAAGCATCATAGTCTAATTACTTTTGTAGGTTGCTTGTGCTGCATCATATGTCACATGGGTGGCTGCCACATATCTGATATGTTTCAAGTGTTCTATGGCTTTGGCGGTTGAGCAACAGCGCTTCGTGTGAGATGGAAGGAGTCATGCACGGACTTGGTTCTTCACCCTCGAAGTATCAACGAGCCAAGCAGGGCAAGCAATTCCAGTTTGTTCCTGGCGTGCGAATCACGAAACTTCTTTGTGTTCCCAATGCCACGTGTATTTGTTGGACCAATCGGCCTATGGCCTATGGCTGTTCAGTCTTTTGGGCGTGATCCCCAAACTGATATTCCTTGGCCGCTTGTATAGGTATGTATAGAGTATAGAGTTGGCTCCTTTCTGTTCTGCAGGGTTTCTTAAGGCCGCCCCTTACAAAAGTACATGTACACAGGCTTTTTGGATGCTCGCATCACCAGGGGCTTGACTTGATTGAAACATTGGCCAAGCCACGTAATTCAAGGTTGTTTGTGGCTTTGACAAACTACTTCCCTGCATGCAACACACGAGGAAGAGGAAGCTGGCCGCTTTTGTTCGAAGGAAAGTGGGTGTGCGGCACCCAAAGGCAACACATCATGGCAAAACATCGCTCGCGCTTTTGTCAGTTGCACACGTCATCATCTTTTCAGCTTCGCATGGAGATCAGGAACTTTCACAAAGGGTGTGCAGGTTGGAGGCTTTCACGGCTCACTCAAATTTCACTAAGCAACGCCTTGTGATGCAGCTCCGAACTCATGAAGCGGCATACAACTATGGAAGAGGTCGTGTTCAGTGTTCTCAGTGTTCTCCCAACAACCTGCACCAACAACGCCAAACAAATCTGATCAAAGTTCTCAAGGAGCGGATGGATTTGGTACCTCGGACATGGAGACGCAATCCCAGTATTGCACATGCTGTCATTGAGGTCACAGGTTTTGTGACAAGCATTCATTGAGTCCTTGAGGTTGTAAACTGGAGGCCAACGCTACTAGGTCGGAGGCCATCGCTAGTAGGTTGGAGGCCATTGCTTAGGGTATTTTTCTTCGTTTAGTTCAGTATGTGTTTTGGCTCTTTGCTGCCGCAGAATGCCACCAAGTTCATTCTTCAAAAATGACGGGACACTTGTCGTGTCGTTTAGCCAGCTGTTGGTTCGGATTTTCGGGTCACAAAGTAGAACTTGTGATGTGGATCCTCAAATATCGTGGCCTTCTACAAATGCTAAACTGCACATCTCTTTGCATTCGTCGACACGAGAAACGCATTCTTAACAGTGCGGCCAAACCCCGTCTCCATGTGGCCTGGTGCCAGTTCTCGGCAAGTGTCGGCCGGGCAAAGGCGCACCTAAATTCGCGTGAAAGCCATTGCTATTAGACCGCAAGGAAACCTCATAGCAAAAGGAACCTAATAGCAATGGCCTGCAACCTACTTATGATGGCCTCCAACATAAGAGCAATGGCCTCCACAAAAAGAAAAGACCGCGGAGCCAAACATCACAGGGATTGGAGAGTAACTATGTTTAATGCAAGAGTTCGACTCAAAAAGCTGCGACTGGCCAACACCCAAACATGGACTTTCCAGCAACACCAGGCAAATGGTGTCACTTTCTTTCACTCCGGTGCAGGGCTCAGAAGTCCTCCAACGTCATGCCAACGCATTCAACGTGCAAAAGCTTTTTCTAACGCGGTGCTTCAATCTGTGGGGCAAAAGACTGCGTTGGTGTCACAAACCTGGACCCGACTGGTTTGATGGGTCAGAGCTGAGCGGCAAACCCTCTGTGGCGCCCGTTTGGATGTCTTTCAGAGCATCAGCAGCTGTGAGGCGCACATAGTTTTCAGAATCATTTTGAATAATATGGTTCAGCTCAGTGGCCACTGCTGCTGGCGCTTTTGGAGCAATTTTTTGCAATAATTGAATGACATCAATGCGTATCTGCCAATCTGGGCAAGTTAAAAGCTCGTGAAGCATGGGCACTCCAGTCTCCGGCGGTTTTTGGCCGATGCTTTTCAGCAAGGCTAGAAGAAGTAGGTGACGACCAGAACTGTCGCCTCTTGGACGCTTAAGAAGACAAGGCAAGACCTTTTCTGGTTCCTCTTTGGCCAAGGGTTCCAGTGCGTTTGCAGCGGCTACGCCTGCGTCATGGTCGGAGTACAAGGCCTTCTCAAGCAGCGGCAACGCTTCAGGCAAGTCCTCAAGTCCTGGCCGGGCAAGCTCCTGAAAGGCATCTTTGTCCGGGCCCTGACGCAGTGTTGCGGCCCACAAAAGCGATGGCTTGCTAGGGGGGCCACAGTGCCAATTTGGAAAATAAACAAAACCTGTAGAGAGCACTACAAAAACATCAAAAACCTCTTGCCTGCGTGAATTGCACCAAGTAGAGTTCCAATGCGATGACAGTGTCAAACATCTCCATCACATCTGGCAAAATTGTGACAACCTGCGGACCATACTGCTTTAGGAGAGCAGGGAGCCTCAAGTTGCTCAAGTGTGGTTCGTAGCTTGGAGGCAGCTGGTTTGCGACCTCTCGAAACAATTCAAGCTCAATGTGTCCCATGGCGAGGCAGCCAGGGTAGCGTTCTTTGGTCACCTTGTCGAAACGACAATCCTCGGGGACCAAAACGGAAAAAGTCACAGAATCTTCGCTCAAGAAATTGGAGCTTCGATAATGATACTGGGGACCCGGTGGAAACCTAATCCAAATAGTATCTTAGAAGATCACATGATCACATCCCACCTCTATTTTTTTTTAGAGATAGATATAGTTTTTACTTTTCCGGCTTGCCATGTCTCCTGTGTGATCTTTTCTCCTGGCTTCAGAAACTCAGTTGCCTTGCTTTCGAAGCTCTTGAGCTCTGTTTGCTCCGCGGTCTCAGGATGTTCCATCTCGGCCACATTGACACACGAAAAAGTCTCCACCTTTTGCCAATCTTCCAATAGACCGGTCTCTTCGATCTTGCCTCGAATCAATGGCATTAGATGATGGCATCGAACGTGGGGGTGCTCATTGAGAACTCTGAAACCTCTCGCAGGCGGGTACCGCGCAAGAGTTGGCAGCTCAGAACGGAAGAATACCGTTCTTTGCAAGGTCCATTTCTCCTGCAACCAGAGAACAGTTTGGCTTGATCAAGAATATGCTCAATAGGTTCAGGAAAATCTTCAAACATGTGACTCAAAAAGTACAACGCAAAGTGGGAACTCCCCTTGGAGTCAATGCTTCAATCCTCTCTAATACTCTCCATTTTTCAGGTTGTGTCGCCCCAAAAAGTATTCCTTTGGTCTCATTCCAGAGCCAATGGCATCTTTCTGATTCTAGGCCTCTATTGGATGTCTGTCTACATATTACATATATATGTATATAGAGAGAGAGAATATATATATATAACTATTATATATATTATATAACAGCGAATCAAATTCAACTGATTGTATTTTGTCGATCTGGGGACGATCCCCAAATGACGATGCTAGCATCGTGTGTCCATCCTTCACCAGCGGCTTCTTCACGAGAAATCGGACCAAATCAGCCCCATTGCGCCAAACCACTGCATCAGAGGCTGACTGCCAAATGGGCTCCTGATGTAATCCAAGAAAACATTGCTATTTAGCTTTGTTGCTTCAACCATCGTGAACGAATCGACTGGTATATTAGAGTTGTGGAAGGATCAGCTTGTTGCAGCTTGAAATCGAACAGGAAGAAAACAACGGATTTGTTTTGATTTGGCATGAGAATCCAAACAACTGAAGAAAAGCCTCACATCAAGAATTGTTGCACCTAGTCTTCTTACAAACAGCAACTCATCTTGAGTTTTACCGTCCCTCTGAGAAGACTCCAAACATTGCTCCGGTCTCCTGCTTTGCCCATTCGCAGTCGTGCAGGGGTCTTCCATCGCTGCTCTTCATCCCTTCTTCCTCCAGAATGCCCCCGAACGGGGTCTGAATGTCGTCATTGCCACCAGCATGCAACCTAGGCGCATGTCACGCTAACTGAAGCAAGTTCGACCCGCAAACCTTGAAAACAAAACAGTTCCACCAAAAATGCTCCAAAGTGCACAAACTGGACTTGCCTGGCGACATGAACATGTTTAAGGAGGTGCACCACTTCGCACGCACAGACGGAGAAACTCCACTCCACAGTAGCAGAGTGGAGTTCATCTTGACAAATGAGCGCTTTGTGAAAAGCAGCCCATGAGAGGCATCTCGTTGACCCCATTGCAAAGCGTACATGATGTTCTTTGCCATGTTTCTGGGGTCCACATCAGTCACGTGGGTCAGCCAATCGTAAGAGCCGTTCTTTAAGCCGGGTGTGACGCGTTCGCAAAAGGCCAACACATGTCTCTGCAGCTGCGTGAGCTGCTTCTCACAGGCAGAAGCAGGTTGAAGGCCTGGCGGTCCTGACGTGTCCGCCCGAAACACAGGCGGAGGAGGCGGAGGCCTCCCCATCCAAAACAGAAGGCCTTCTGAGTTGGCTCTGAACTCTGTAAAACTTATGACGGGACTCAAAGGACTCCTTGTTGCGTAAATCTTGCCACAAAATACAGAGGATCTCCGCAAAAAGCCGATGGATGCGAGTGAGGATCAATGACCTTTTGGCAAGGGACCATCGGTCATCCGTGACTTTCAAACCTCAACCGGTAATCGCTTCGGTGTGTCACCCTGTCCTGAGATTGTTTCAGGAGCTTCCAAACGGAGAGCGAGACTTGGCAAGCAACATAGAGCAAGGCAAAGGCGACGAGTCATAGCGCTTGATTGCTCAGCTGCGGATGTGACATGCTCACTCGCGGCTTCGAAACTTCAAAAGCTCCAATTTCTCAGATCCAGGAGTTAAGATACTTCTGTGAAGGGAAGGAAACGCAGCAAGCAGTCACTCTAAAGAACCCATAATCTAACTCACCCGGTCGCACCCCCACCTCCACCTAGGTCAAGTGGGAGTGCGCAGTGACCCAAATTGCCTGAAAGGCTAGGAGCCGAACAAGCCCACTTCACGAGAATCCTTGAACAACAACCTAATTGCAATGGCCTCCAACCTACTAACGATGGACTCCAACCTAATTGCGATGAACACCCTTCAAGATCGACCGCTGTGAATGACCCGTGCTTGTTTTGCAGGGATTGATTTGTAGAGTTGGTGGCCTGTGTGCCGTCCATCGCTCCATGGCTACGCGGCTACTCGCTGGCCACGAGGACGATCCTCGAATTCACGCTTGAGCCAGTCTCACCAAGACACACTTCCGACTCGCAGTGGTCGAGATTCCTGGCTTGTGCACAACTCACTTTGGTCGATGTAACAGCACCACGTTCTACGCATGCAAGCCGGTGAGGTTGTATTCAACCTCCCTCCTCTACTCTATTCCTTTTCTGCGCAGAGGTCCTGGCGAATAGCAAGAAGTCAGTCACGGTTGATGCTGTCTCTGCTGTCTTGAGGAAGAATAGAGCAACATAGGCAAGAAACAAGCAGCGGTGTGGCAATGCACTGCTTAAGAGTGCTGATGGACAGAATCCTACAGGTGGAAGCACGCAAGCACAAAACAGTCAATCTTCTAACACCATCAGTTACCAAAAACTGTTTAAACAAAAAAAAGAGTGAGCATGTCTCGTGTTCAGTAACGTTTGAATCATCATGCATTTCAGTGCTGTTTGCTCTTCCTGCCTGGGCAAGTTCATTGCGTATTTGGCGTCGTTAGCGCAAACAGGGTCTGCCCTATCATATCCAGAACCAACAAAAATGCAGTCTATATATGGTCTTTCTTTGCAGGGTCCTCATCAAGATCTCCGTCGCGGACTCTCCGAAAGTGCCAAAAGTACAAAAAGTACAATTGTTACTGCTACAATGCAAAGAGTATTTATAGTTATATATACGTATGTCATATATATAATTTCATACTTGATATTGCATTATATTATATAATTGTTAATTGAGGCTACTTTTTTGGCTCATCAACTGACCAGTCCAACCTTGGCTGAAAGCGGATGTCCCCTGATTTAGAGGTTCTTGGATGAACATGTGCAACTGGTTCTTAATGACTTAATGGGCAAAACTCCAATGGTAAAATTGACAATCCGGAGTAAAAGAAGACCGGTTTGCATGAAAAGAGAAGGTGCTTAGTGCTTGGGTTCCTTTTTAAACTAAGTCCACCTTCGTCTTCTTTATGCTGAACCGATCTTCGTCTTGGACTTAGCCACCCAAAAGCTCGCAAATCTTCCCGCCTTAACAAGCTGTCAAACAAGGATCGCAACATTTGATCCCGAGTGTTGAAAAAGCAACATGATCGAATATGTTAAAGGCGCGAAAGCCTTTTGATGAGTTTCTCGCTTTGAAGACAGTGTTGGTGATATCTACAGTACTGCTAGTTGTGAGCCCACATCAGCTAGAACAGTTGTTCACTTTTCAAGGCCTTCTAATTTGCAGAGTCTTTCGTTTTCCAGGGACAGACATACCATCACCTCCCCTGCATTCGAAGGACGCGAGCCAAGGTCGATTGGAGCGCTGAGCGCCACGTCAGCACCGCCTGCATAGGGAATGTCATAACCAACCAGAAACCACACTGACCCTGACGAAAGGAAGGTAGATAGAGTACTGCTTTTGACGACACCTTGCGAGTCTATACCCATGAAATCCCATGAAGCTACTGGGATCTGTCATGAAAACCCGGAAATTCTCATGTTGAAGTCACCTGGTCTTCAGGCAGTTCATGCTGAACGGTTCGCAAGTCTGACGGTCCGGATACTTCGATTTCAGTTGGCAGAAGGTGACTCCCTCTGTTCGGTCTCTCCAAATCGTTCGTTGACCTCCTCCACTTTCTGCTTCTCCTGGCAAGCTGCAGTCTGGCCATGCTGTAGCAAGATCATCTCGGCCAACTCAACTTAGTTTGATGGAACAAATGTTGCAGCACATGGGAGTCATAGAAATCATCAAGCGCTTTTCAGTTCGACAGTAACACGGGAGAAGACTTTGTGTTTCAAAACCAGTGGTCGACACGCCTCAATGGTGAGCTCACTGCTTGGAATTTGGTGGTGAACAGCAAACGGGTATCGGCTATTGATCTGTTGCATATGAAAGGATGGGCTCATCAGTTGGTGAGGGGGGTTGCACAGAAAATCTGAAGAGAGTAGATTTGTTTCACACTCCTTCGCATGATTAAAATGGTGAGCTGTGACTTTGTGAGCAGGTGTCATTCTACTATGTTCTGCTCACATTTTGTCGACTTTCGAGGTTTGGGCTTCCCAATGAGGACTCGTTCGGTTTCAAATCATCACATCCGTCCAAAGACTTGCTATCGCGAAGAGCACCACCAGTGTTACTTCTCTCTCCCCAGGCCTTTGATTCGAGGTGCATGGCCTGACACAGGCGACTTCCAGCGAAATGGACGTCTGTTTGAGTGGAAGTCGTTCGTTTGGATGGATTGGTCGAATTCGTTCGAGTGCCGCCTGTCAAAGCGAGCGAAACCCCACCATCTACTACATCCACCTCTAGCTGCATCTCGTTTACATACCACCCTGCTAATACCCAAAAAGCCCTACTTACTTCACTTTTTGGGTATAGTTATGCTGTAAACACATATCAAGGAGTTGAGGAGAAATAAATATTCCAATTTTAGTCATGAGGCAAACCTGACATGAAACATGGTGAGACCTTAAATCAAGTCCCCAAAAGAATATCATCTTCTCAGTCCTTAGTGTGTTCGCTCTATTTGTGTGTCTTCTACAGAAACAAACAGATCTGCAAAATCTTCTACAGAAAATGAGTCGACCATTCGACCGCCTGGACCTTGGACGTCGCCAATTCGGCCGCTTTCATCTCCTCGGATCCCGAAGCGTTGAGCGACATCGAGCGACATCGAGCGACATCGAGACAGGAGCTACTAGTAGTGTCCTTGCTAGTAGTAGCGATACCCTTTGTTACTAGTAGCAATGCCAGGAGCTACTAGTAGATAGAGAATTTGAGCGGCCAATGTCGTTCCATTCGAACATCACATTGAGTGGCTCATCGTGAATGTTGTCCGTGGATGGTTGTGGGATGTCGTGGGACCCATGTAGGTTTTGGGTGTTGGAATGACTTGTGACCTACTTTGTCTCCAAATCTTCGACTTTGAGAACGACAAACGAGCGTTCTCTTTTGTCTGTTTGACGCCTTGGCCAAATAGGCTTGGGCCTTTCGGAGCTGCTCCTGGTCCGCATGTCACGTTTGGATGTGTGTTTAAGAAGTCCAGTAAACGCTGTATGTGGAGGAAGAATGTCGAAGCGGACTTAAACAGGCATTAGGAGCTCCAAATGGTAGAAATGAAAGCTTATATTCAATAGATTCAATGAAGCCAGCATGTCACCTACATCATCCTACATCTCTACTTTCCAGGTGCTCATGTTGAGCTCTGCACAAAGATTCTAGATGTGCTGTGGGAAAACTAATCAAGTCCTTTTCACTCTCCTCTCGACAATGAGTGACTTTGTTGAACGCCAAATAGCCGATAATATGCTTCTGCAATTCACCATCCGCGTCTCCTCCTCTTTGTCCAAGGCTTTCTGAAGGACCTCCGCCTTCCGTGCACTGTGCTCCTCCTGGCATATCGTTGCTCGTCCGGTCAAGTGAAAGATTGGCAAACGTTTCATCCCGGACAAGTCACACACTCATCACGATCACCAAAAGTTCAACAAAATCTGTCAAGCTCAACAAGTGATCCGCTCCCACTTGATTGCCCGAGTGATTCCCATATTAATTCCCCAGATCGATCATGGGCCTTGCATATGGCTCTGGACCTTCCCTCCCTCCGAGACCCAACAACCCTAGGTATTTCATCACAAAAATCACCCCACCTGCAGCTGTTTGAGCTTCAACTCTTCCTTCTGCACCTCAGCAATTATATCAAATATACTGTATAGAATGGTCTACAGTCTGGGGCATCGACAATCTTTCTTCCAGCTGTGGCCCATTGATGGCAACATGGCAACATAACATGCTCGTCAGTTCGTCTTGACTGAAAAACAGCAAGAAATTCCTTCGAACGTGAACGCCACCAATGCAGCTCAGCCTCTGCTGATTGTATGTCGCGCTGCTTAGCTGCTTTGACAGCTTCCACCTGCCGCCCAAAAGACCGCCCCATCTGCCCTGCCCCTTGAATCCAATTTCTGAAGGCTCATTGCGCAACTTACGCATGGATTGGTTCATGCTCCCAACAACAATTCAAAGCTTCTAACCCAAAGAATGCATCTCCACATCGCGCAAGTCGAAGTGCAAGGGCCTTCTCCTTCCATTGCCTCGCCTCCTTGTCATCCTGTTCCTCCAGCAATGCTCGACCATGCTCAGAACTTTGGGGGTCTATGAACAGCTGCAGTATTCAGTCTGCTGAAGCAAACACAATATAGAGAAAACTGGAGGATGGATTTCTTGGGATAGGCCAGACTCACGACAAGGCCCTAGCTTATCCCCCACAAATGCCCGGATGTTCAGTCAGGGCCACCATGTTGGTCCCCTCATCTCCCTGGAGTGGCTCAAAAAATTGTTCTATACCTGAAAATGAATAAGAATCAGTTCAAGGCTTCTTTGGCCCCTTCTTTTTGCCCAAGTGACTCAACTTTGAGGCCCAGATTTTGGGGATCCGACTCACCAAAACATAAAATGTCGAACCTTCGTGGGAGAGCGGTCCTTCATCTGTCTGAGCTTGGCAGCTTGGTCAGATTCTTTTTGCTTTGCCGCATTTCGAACATCTTCCAAGCGCCTCGAGAGTTGTGCAAAGTCCAGGAAGGTTCAAATGTTTCACATCGGCCGCTTGGTCATCTCTGGTGTTTGGAACAGAAAGCTGATGTGTCTCTTGCAAAAAGTCTGGAGAAAGAAGCTGCTCGACCGCCCCACCTTTGAGTTGTGGCCTTCTCCTCAGCCAGCGTCTCCTTTGCCTTGAGGTCACGTCGTTGATACGGATGTCGCTTGATACGGATGTCTAGGGCCCGTTTGAGGCGATTTGGTCACATCTGATTCCGATGATTTCCAGTTCTGCCTCAAGAAAATCGGGCCAAAAGCCAGCAAATGGATGCAAATGGGTGTAAGTGGAGCACGCTGTTGATAAGCACAATTGCAGGAAATCCAAAAGGATTGATGTCAAATGTTAACCAAGATAAGATTTCCATTGGATGTCCTTTGTAATCTTTGTATCAAGGTCGATGGAGCTTCCCCTAAAACCCTGAGCCTTGGCCAAGCGCTCCTTCACCCTCGCAAGCTGTGTCTGCACCTCTTGCCTCGTGATGCTTGCAGTCGGACAAAAGAAAAGGTACAGTCGTCACTTCACACAGACCTTCACAGAAACAATCTATTACATTACAGTTTGTTGGAACCAGGCTGTGTTTGAGTCTATCTTCAGATGCAGGCTCCTTGTTGCTGAACGCCTAACATTCTGCCGTATTCCGGCATTTCTCTGGGGTCCAAGCAGGTGTTGCTGTTCCTCCGGCATCTCTGCTTTAGAACGCTCGAGCCTTGAGCCGGCACAAGACCAGCTTGTTCTCATTTCCCCAAGCCGATCGCCGAATGTTTGTCGACAGGTTTCTCTTGAAGACCAATGATGATGACTAGATGGGCTTCATGCCATATTGAGCCCCATGTTTTTGGAGCGACAGTGTGACAGTGTGACCCGTGACCCGTTTTCTCTTCGACACGTGCGTCACTTGACCTGCGGCATCCAAGACCTACGCACCGGGTCGAACCACGTCCATCACGGCCGTTCGGTGGACGGCTTCACACGGCTCCGTAGGTCTACGTCGATCTTTTCCGAGAGGCTCCAGGTCCATCTTCTTCAGCTTTTCTTCTGCCTGGCGCCTTAACTTCAGATACCTGGTCGAGGCAAACACCGAATTCAAACTCCTCAATGCAGCACTTCACAGTTTTGCGAGTGACCAGGGCTTGGGCAGGTCTGACAAACACCAAGCTTTTTAAGTGGAATAACAAACGGGGTTGAACCTGTCAGTTGAACCTGTCAGGTGTCACAGCTGAGTCTTTTTCACTCCGGTCTACCCAGGAAAGCCAAGCAGCCTGTTTTGCATCCTCTTCACCTGCGGCATGTTCATTGAACAGCACAGCAGTCGGTGGATAGCAGAGGGCTGGTTAGCCCGTCTCTGTGGGTGGCTGGTATTGTTCTTGTCTTTGAGAGGTTTGTGGCTTGCAAATCAGGGCCATCAAACACACCATAGGGAGCCTGTCCATTTGATTTACAACTGTTGAGGAATTGTGGTTGCTGTTTCCTATTCGTCACTACCGCAGCAAATAAAGAAGATCTATTTATACAGTAAGCGATCATGTGGTGTCAATCGCAACAATGTGGGCACGAACAACGCACAAAGTCTTGGCCTACATACCCAAAGTATCCGGAAGTACTACTTGGATCCTTTATTCCCAAAACAAACTGCCTCCAAACCCAGCAATGCTCAGCGGCCTCGTACTGATGCTCAGTGACTCGCTTCTTCTTCGCGTCTCGTTCGTGCACCAGTTTCTGCTGCAACTCTGTGACCTCCGTGAGCGCGTCCTGCAAAGTGATGCAAAACCGGTTGCCACAGGAAACTCCTCCCAAGTAGTAACAAGGGCATCGCTACTAGGAGCAAGGACGCTACTAGGGGCTCCTGGCCTTACTACTAGGAACAAGAAGCTACTAGTAACAAGGGCACTACTAGTAGCTAGAAGCTGTCGAATCCAGAGTCCAAAGCTGTTTTGGTCACAGGTCCAATGGTCCAATCGTCCAAGGATCTCCTCTTCATCTTCCCGGATCTTCTTCTTCAACGCATTGACTGTCTCCTCGAGAGCTGCGATCTCCTGAAGGCAAAGGGAGCATAGATCAGCACTCACTACACGTTGCCTTCATGGCAATATCTGGAACTGTTGGAAACAACTTGGAATTTGCAGTAGATCGACTTATATCTAAGTTAGTTCCTGCCGGAGGTTGCTGGATCACCCTCTCAAAGGTCAATCAAAACGGCCAAGCCAAGTTTGTGTAAAATGCGTGCACACCACACAGCTACGAGTACAGAAACCAACAGACTGCTCCCTTGGCTGTCCTTGCGCAATGGCTCCTCAGCTGGCAATCGAGCCAAAACACACGCACACAGTCGCACACACACACACAGAGTGCCTGCTTGCGCCGGGATCTCTAAGAGAAAACAAAACGATATGAAACACACAGAAACAACATGGCTGTTTGTCAGGGGTAGGGAAATCGGAATTTGCGTATTTGGATCCTGCACAATTCTCCCAGTGCATCCAAGAAGACTGAACCTAATACGGGCCCTTCCCTCACAAAAGGCGGGCAATTGCCATTGCAGAAAACAAACCCCTTGTGCTTCAGTGCTTCTAGCCTGTTGGAACATAGTAGTGATATGCCGTACTCACCCAAAACCCAACAATGTTGTTTTAAGAGTGTGCAGTGTGCCTCAATATCTTTAAACCTATATAAAACTGGATCGTCAAGCCTGATGCCTTCAATTGCCAGGAGTTTAGACTGCCACCTGCCGCACTCTGCAGATTCCACCAGAGGCTCCAGAGCAGCAAAGGCCTTGGCCTTCTCCTTCTCTCGGATGGCACCTTTCTGCTCTTCGAAGCGCTTGTTGAGAATGGCCTCTTCCAAGAAGGTGAAATTGGGGAACAAGTCTGAACACTCTCCCCTACCAGCATTGCGACAAATCAGGGATGAGTCTGATGCTTTTGTACAAAAGACCTCTGGCCACAAGCTAGTGCATGCCAGCGGTGCAGTGGCTTTGATCGTTGCATTGATCATTACCTGGAACCAACAGCTTAGGGTTGAATATGCCATTATGCATGATCGATGCATCATCCCACCGCCCACACCGCGGTGCTGGGCCTGCTCCGCTAAGTACTTCCGCCTCATCTTAATCTCCTGCTCCTGCTGAAGCAGCAAGCTAAGCTAAGCAATTACTTGTGTCACAACTTCCACGTGGCACATGCGGATTTGGATCACCTACAGCTTACCATTGTGATAGTGGGAACTTGGCACTCCTCTTTGTTTTGGACATCTCCCACATGAACCAATGTGGCTTACGATTCCGATCTTTGAAGCCTGTGTCTGGATTGTCAAGAAAAGGTCATGATCCTTTGCACGATCGCGTTGTTTTGCAGTCGCAGTCTTCTCCTTGGATTCCGACTCCTCTTCTATCTTGGCCTCAAATAAATGGCTCCATTTGCTCTGCTTAGATCGAGAAAGCTTTGAAGCCAATCCTGTTTCCCGGTTCTGCCATGACTTGGGATGGGTGTCACCTGATCCCGTTCTAGCAATGCAAAAATCCACAGCCCATCCAAATTCCCCCGATAACCTGCCATCTCAACTATTACAAACAGACTTTAAAACAATTCCAGGCCTAGGCTCTAGCAGAACCTATTTTGGGCTCGAATGTCTGCGTCAGAATGCAAACAACCTGCCTCGGCCAACTCTTCCTCAGCCTCACTGGCTTCAGCCTCGAGCGAAAAGAAGGGAGAGGTAGCTAGCAGGTACAGCACGCTCCATGCTCACACTACTTCTATTCATTTGGTTCCTAGATTTTGCGGGAAACTTAACTTAAATTGCCCGCTCTGCTTCGCCAGTTGCGTTGTCTAGTTCAACTTCGATCGAGCAGCCAACAGGATGGCGGGATCAGCTTGGAACAATGACCTCTTCCCCCACTTTGTCTTCTTGTTATGTTGAGAACTAGAGACTGGGTTTCCGGACTCTGTTAAAACGGTGTCCGGAATTGGAGAAGCCGGGTTTCCTGACTCTGGTTTTTTGGTTACCCTTCGGTCCAGCCTCGGCCAACTGCTCCTCTTCCTCTAGCTGCTTTTGGGCATGCTCCATAATGCGCTGCGTTTGCTTCCTGGGTGAGTGCACCGGGGATGAAAAGTGAATGATCAACAGGCGGCCTTGGATCTCTAATCTGCCACAAGCTACAGACCGGAGCAAATACCGAAGAACCGAGAAGCAAACACTCTCGAAGAAAACATGATCAAAGAAACTACTGTAAGTACCTCTGGATAAAAGGTCATAGTGGCATTCCTTTGGATGGACCTGCAAATATGTGTTACTACGGTAGTAGCTTCTTGTTTCTAGTAGCGATGGCCTCTATATAACCTACTTGCGATGGCCTCCACCTAATAGCCTCCTTGTTACTAGTAGTTCAATTTAAAAATGCCATGCTTGGAACCTATCGGACTTTGACTTCACCAAGCATCTGCTCACGCATGAGCTCCGTCTGCAAGGCCTGCCGCGTGGCATTCTCCTGTGGGCAGCGATGACATCGCCTGACCAGACTTCGTCGTACCTTGTCTGGAGTCGAGGTTGTGAAGCTATCTCTTCTAAAAGTACTGTGTCTTTCTTACAATCAGCTCCTCTGAACAAAACCCAGTGTCAGCTTGCAATCAACAGTAACCTTCCCATCTTCCTGGTTAAAATCCGCCCAAATCCCCTTTCTAGAAACAATCCGCGTCCTCAGCGGCCTCGACTTGCAATGCTGTGGATTGCTTCTTCAATTTTGCCACCTCCTCAGCACAATCTGCGCACTCAGCTGAAGTACAAAACTAGAGGTGGGTGTTTCCCACACCTGCAGTCGGGTGTTCCTAAACTCCTCTGAACGAAGTCTCCATGCAGGTCAGGCACATCCAAGATTTGCTCCTCCTCCACAAGCTCTTTCCTCTGCTTTTCCATGTCCTCCTCCTGACTTGGCAGAGTAAGACCCACTGCATCCGGAGCCTGCTGAAGCTACTCAAGGTATCTTGGAGCTTGTCGAAGCAGAACACAGTGCTTACGTCGGGTCTCCTGCTTTTGCACTTGCTGGATTTTGGAGTTCTCTTTGTTGGACTCCTCTCGCAAGACTGATGCTGAGTCTTGCACCTGCCAAGCAGACTGTTGAAATTGTGCGAACGTGGCTCGAGACAACTTTTGTCGTGACTGCATGTAGGAGCAAGGACGCTACTAGGGGCTCGTTGGAGAAGGACGAGTGCGGGTAGTGAGAAGCCTGACAGACTTCCTCACGCAAAGGCGTTGCCACCCGTTCCTACCAATCCTGAGACAGTCATGGAAACTGTTTATATGCTTTTTATGTACAACCCAGCTTTCAGCCTCATTCATGGATTGTTCTATATTATATATATATATACTACCAACTCATGGATTTACACCCCACTCCACCTCACCCCTGCGCCTGCTTGAGGGTTGCTTTCTGCAAGGAGATCTCCTCCTTGGCTTTGGCCACTTCCGCCTCCGTTGCTGCGACCTCCTTCTCCTTGGCCTCCAACGCGGCCTCTGGAGCTGCGAGGCTGCGAGGCTGTGAGGCTGCCAGGCTGTGCTGACGAACTGAAGATCAGTTTTTGAAACATCTTCAAGCACTGTGGGTTTTACGTTCACAAACCTTCTTCGGGCTGCCTCAAGGAGTCCAGGGATCGTCGAATGGCAGTTTCGTCTTCTAGTCTAATCCTGATGTTTAAAAAATGAAGACGTCGAAACAAGAAGGCCAATCACCGATGTGTTTTTGAAACCATACTTGGACCCCCACGCCAATCATCATACTCACCTAAATGACCATACCACCCTCCATCTCTGGCGCTTCTCGGTGCCTGCGTGCGGCGCTTCTCTTCGAGCGCCGCGTAGGTGGCATCGCTGTGGCCCAGCTGCTTGGAGCGCTGCACCGAGGCCTCCAGGCGCTGCCTGAAACACGAGACTCACGAGACGAAAAAGGAAAGGCACTTGTTACCCGTAGCGATGCACTTGTTCCTAGTAGCTTCTTGTTTCTAGGGACCTAAGGGACCTTCCAGGGATTTTCATGGTTGGAAAACACCCGAGGGGAGTTGTCCAAAGAAGCTTGGAGGCTTGGATCAAATCATTGTTTCGTGTGAAGATCTTGGGATCTAAACCGGGCACGCCTTGGGGAATGGACTGAACAAGAACGTTCGCTGCCCTGTCCGAAGCGCCCGCCTTTCTTGCTGAAGCCTCTGCAAGCGCAGCTGACCTTCAGCTTGTCTCTGCTGCGCCTGCTGGAGCCGCTGACCTGCCCAGGTCCACGGCCAACAAAAGCCGAAGCTCGAAAAGCCGTGGTCTCGTGCCAAAGAGTCGGCAAGAAAGAACAAACAACTTGTTACTTGTAGTAATGGCCTCCAACCCAATACCGATGGCCTCCACCCCAGAAGCGATGGCCTCCACCCTAGTAGTGATTGTCTCGTGACAAATGATTGTCTGATATTGTCTGCTATTTTACGGGGTAGCGATCTCCACGACCGTCAATATAGAAAAGAAAATGCTGGTGTTCTTCCCCAACACCTTGTGGCTGTTCTAAAATGGCAATTTGGCCCAGTTAGTTATCCTGGAGGACCATCTCGAAGCCCTTGATGACAGATTCCAGCACCTACATACCGTCCCAATCGAAACCGTGCCTTCGGCGGCCGTGAGTTGCTCCAGCCGCTGATGATCAGAGCGCTGCACTTTCTGCTCTTCGCGAGTGCGGCCCAAAGCCACACCCTCAGCGCGCACTGATGGGTCCTCCGCAGTGAGACATGCCAAATTGAAAAGTGGCTGTGGTGAGTGCACACTTCAAGGAATTCTTGAGGCCATCGCTATTAGGTTGGAGGGTTCTTGTTCGAACGTCGAAGGGGCCGTCCCACCACTCCTCCAGGTAAGGCAACTCGACCATAGCATCTACTGTAGTAGGCATAGAGCTGCCCTCCTGAGCAAAAGCACAACCTCACTACTGGGAATTGTAAACATACGACTTCTCAATAGAATTCAAGCTTCAGTTCGCATGATTGGGAAATCGGGACACTACGCAAAAAGCTCTCACACACACACACACACCCTAATGTCAACTGGAAGTCTCAAGTCCTGCAATCATGAAAATTGATTCTCCCCCTACTGCCACCATGCGACGAACATAGGAGTGTCCATCATACGATGGGTCTCCACCAAGAGCTCTTCGCGCTTATAGCCCGTGGCTTCCATTTTCTTCTGCAAGACTTGCCTTGCTTTGAAAAGTGAGAAAGCACATATTCAAAGGGCATCGCTACTAGGAACAAGAAGCTACTAGGAGCAAACGGCATCGCTACTAGGAGCAAGAAGCTACTAGGAGCAAAGGGCATCGCTACTAGGAGCAAGGACGCTACTAGGGGCTCCTGGCATCGCTACTAGTAACAAGGAGCTACTAGGGGCTCCTGGTGATTGAGAATAGTCTGCTCCGCACAGGTTTTTTTGTGGGCGGTGGATATATGCAAGCAACTGAAAAGTTAACGGGGCTTAGAGAAAGATCCTTTAAGCAGGGGTGTACCTAGTTTACCTCTTATCACTGGTAATAAACAGCTGCATCAATAAAACGGTAGACGCCTTGGAACCGGTCCAAAGGCTGCTACATTTGAAAAGCAAGCCAACCAGCATAAGATTGAGATACAAATGGACACAACCAGCTCCCATGTTGGTCAAATCACTGGCAACTAGAAAAAAACATCCAAGGCACAACATCTCCAGCTTGGCCTTCGCCAAAGCCACTTCCCGTCGCTTCTGACGCAAGAGCAGTCCATCCACCTCCGCGCGGTCCTGCTCCTCCACCAGCTTCGCCTCCGGCAGCAGATGCTACTAGGAACAAGTGTGGTAGTAACAAGAAGTTACTAGTAACAAGTGCCACGCTAGTAGTAACAAGTGCCTTACTAGTAGAACAAGAAGCGAACGTAGAAACAACAAGTAAATAGAATTTCCAGATCTGAAGTTGTGATACTAAAGTCACTAAATCTGTCTCGTAATCAGGGCTTTAGGCATCCAAACCAGACACTTCGGGAAAGGTGGAGATACACGCATCCGAAAGTCAGAGATCAGAACTCAACAGGCACTACCGGTCGGATGTTGTGGTTCAAACGTCACCTTCAGATGTCCTAAATTTGCGAATAAAGAATATTACAGTAACTCTTCCTGGAAGGGTGTTTAAAAGGTGTGCAAGGACAACACCTGTGAAATAATTCTTCTACGCATTGTTTGACGACACTGTCCACGCCTGCGTGGCGCGGAGGGAGTCGCTGGCGGTCTGCAGAAAGGAGACGCCCACCGAGCTCCCTGAGGAATATTGTGCGAAAGCCCCGAAAACGGCGGTGTTTAAAATTTGTTTGTAGCATTGTAGTGGAAGGGAAAGCCCAGGTAGGTCTCCAAAAAGCAGCTATATTATATAATTAGGCCAATTATGATCAATTAGTCTATGAAAGGAAGGTTCCTAAGGCTAAGGTACTGATCTCTTGACTCTTGGTAGGTCTTCACTTAGTGTCTCATTCAAACCCCTTCAGTAGCTTGCCTGGCTAAGAGTCGAGCTTCGCAAAGTGTCTGTGTCAACACCAAATCGACATGTTCACTCTGAATTGGGGTTCTACATCCCGTCAACGCCGAACCACCTAACCCAGCACCTGAACCAAACAAAAATGAAAACTATCAAATCGAACTCGATCAGCTGTCCACATTGGGATCCGCGCCCCCAAAAACGACAACAAGAGAACCAAGAAGCTACTTGTAGCAAGAAGCTATTAGTAGCTCCTGGCATTACTACTAATAGGATGATTCCATCATATTCTATAATCTTCAATTGTTGTGTTATCCTCCAAGGATTCCAGTCGATGGTGCAGGTTACTTAGGGGCCTGAAATAGGAAGTATATTGGAGTCTTACGAGGAGGGGGACCACACACTTCATATTCCAGATGGATCAAATCCGAGTCCAGTGGTACCAAACTAACCTTCCTCATCCTTCCTGATCTCCTCACAGCACGATCAGGAGCGCTAGCGCCTCCGCTCAAGTCTCGCAGCTTTTGCTCCAGCGAGGCCACGTGCTCCTGTGAGGTCTGCAGCCTCCTCAGTGCGGGAAAATCGCTTTACAAAAGCCGGCTTTTACAAAGGGGAAGGATGATAAGAGAATGTGAATCTCGGAGATGGTTGGAAGACGGTGGAAAGTCATGAGTTGGTAGAGCTGCGCTGCAGTGGCTGCTCCGCTGCTTTCATGTTCATGGTTGTTCATGAACTTTCTGAGATGTTTGAAACCCCATCCTTAGGAGTATAAGGACGTAGCGACTGGCTGTCTCCCTGCTGAAAGTTGATCAAATCGTTGGGAAACAAGTTCAATTGGAGTCGTGTAAACTCGCGTAGGGTTTATGTTCCGAAGTGTCACTTCACACAACATCACGCGAACTTCACCTTCTCCCGCAATACGAGGAATTAGGTGTGGTAGGAGATACTCAGGAGACATTCGTATTACTACCTGAACTCTATTAGACGGTCTGATCCCTGTGTTTTGTCCATTATTGTCCGGAAGAGGATTCTTCCCCCGTGCAACATCCCTCCATTGGCGGCAAGCATCTCTTGCACCTCGAATTCTTCCTCTTCCGCAAGCGCTACTTGCCTGGGCTGGGCAAAACTGAGGCCTGTGGCATTTCCAGTCCCAGCCCGGGCAGTCTTCTTCTAGTCCTATGTGAGATGTGCAAGTATTATGCTGATGAAAGATCCAGCAAAGAAAGAAATGTCACATTGGTGGATTGGAGGGGCTCCATCCTGGTGAAATGATCATTTCAAGATGAAACAAGCATGTTAAAGTTTGACCATCCATAGCTAGAACGCGGGTCGAGACTGTTGCATATCTGTTTCACGACTCGCATGCTTCACCCTCCATATGATCAATGAACTACCACTGCAAGAATCTGCAAAAGATGTATATAATTTATATAATCTTTAACTCATGCCAACAATGGGGGCCCACACTTATCCCCAGAGTTCTAAATAAACCTCATGACTTATTTCACTTGCTCGGGTCCAAGTGGCTCCCGCAACTGAGCGAGCTCCGCTTTGGCCTCCAGCTGGACCAAACGCCTCGAGAAACCACTATAGACTATCACTACTTGTACCCCGCAGTGGAGGACTTGACTGGCCATGTGGATTCCCCACGTTCGCTCTTCATTGTGCGTTGTTTGAGTGTCAGATGTGTCGGTCAGTTTTGTAAGTTGAGCACATGTCTCATTTCCCTTCGTGCGGACAAAGAGTGATGTTTGCCACGGGTTCAATCGGTCCACAACTAATTGCCACTAAGAACTCAAAGACCGCATTCATTTGCAGCGAAGGCTGCAATCCCACATCATTGTGTGCCCGTTCAGGCTAGTGCAACCAGAAGACTTTTTTGCCAGCTCTGGCACAGCTGCATCTTCATTGAACTTGGCTCCTGCCGGCAATTAATTACTCCAACTTGAAAAGCAACTGGAAGAGCTGCCATATAGAATCCAGTTCTTTGTGCAACAGTGCAACAGAACGAAACCTTGCACTGAATGTGAATGTTTTCGCAATCTGAAAATATAGGACCTCAAGCGCATCGAATGAAGACAAAACCCCAACACATCACAAAAGAAAATACATCAGTTTGGGGAATACAGTCACACTAAATTCACCCATGACATGAAGTTGAAGCGTTCAAAAAGAAGAAACCTTCCAACATGAGTTCAATACCCCTGACCACATGTCCGAATTGATCCACTCTGGCCTCCTGCGCCTGCGACGCCCGCGAGGATCGCCAGGCACAGCAGGCGCGCCATGAGGCCGAGTCCCCCGACGGACTGGAAAAGCCCCAAACGGCAAAGGGTGCCAGCACGGCTCATCACTTAGTTGGCCGGAAGGAAGGTTACTACGTTGGAGGCCATCACTCATTCGTTGGAGGCCATTGCTATTAGGTTGAAAGCCATTGCTCTTAGGTTGGAGGCCATCACTCATTGGTTGGAGGCCATCTCGCATTGGTTGGAGGCCATCGCTCATTGGTTGAAGGCCATTGCTATTAGGTTGGAGGCCATCGCTCATTGGTTGGAGGCCATCGCTCATTGGTTGGAGGCCATCGCTCATTGGTTGGAGGCCATTGCTATTAGGTTGGAGGCCATTGCTCTTGGGTTGGAGGCCATCGCTCATTGGTTGGAGGACAACGCTCCTCGGTTGGAGGCCATCGCTCTTAGGTTGGAGGCCATCGCTCATTGGTTGGAGGCCATTGCTATTAGGTTGAAAGCCATTGCTCTTAGGTTGGAGGCCATCGCTCATTGGTTGGAGGCCATCGCTCATTGGTCGGAGGCCATCGCTCATTGGTTGGAGGCCATTGCTATTAAGTTGGAGGCCATTGCTCTTAGGTTGGAGACCATCGCTCATTGGTCGGAGGACAACGCTCTTAGGTTGGAGGCCATCGCTCTTAGGTTGGAGGCCATCGCTATTAGATTGGAGGCCAACGCTCTTAGGTTGGAATCCATCGCTCTCAGGTTGGAGGACATTGTTACTAGGTTGGAGGCCAACGCTCTTCGGTTGGGGCCAGCGCTCCTCGGTTGGAGGCCATCGCTATTAGGTTGGAGGCCATCGCTCTTCGGTTGAAAGCCATCGCTCTTAGGTTGGAGGCCATCGCTCATTGGTTGGAGGCCATCGCTCTTCGGTTGGAGGCCATCACTCTTAGGTTGGAGGCCATCGCTATTAGGTTGGAGGCCATCGCTCTTCGGTTGGAGGCCATCGCGCTTCGGTTGGAGGCCATACCTCTTCGGTTGAAGGCCAACGCTCCTCGGTTGGAGGCCATCGCTATTAGATTGGAGGCCAACGCTCTTAGGTTGGAGGCCATCGCTCTCAGGTTGGAGGACATTGTTACTAGGTTGGAGGCCAACGCTCTTCGGTTGGAGGCCAACGCTCCTCGGTTGGAGGCCATCGCTATGAGGTTGGAGGCCATCGCTCTTCGGTTGGAGGCCATCGCTCTTAGGTTGGAGGCCATCGCTCATTGGTTGCAGGCCATCGCTCTTCGGTTGGAGGCCATCACTCTTAGGTTGGAGGCCATCGCTATTAGGTTGAAGGCCATCGCTCTTCGGTTGGAGGCCATCGCGCTTCGGTTGGAGGCCATAGCTCTTTGGTTGGAGGCCAACGCTCCTCGGTTGGAGGCCATCGCTCTTCGGTTGGAGGCCATCGCTCTTAGGTTTGAGGCCATCGCTATTAGGTTGGAGGCCATCGCTATTAGGTTTGAGGCCAACGCTCTTAGGTTGGAGGCCATCGCTCTTCGGTTGGAGGCCATCGCTCTTAGGTTGGAGGCCAACGCTCTTAGGTTGGAGGCCATCGCTCTTGGATTGGAGGCCATCGCTACTAGGTTGGAGGACATTGCTGTTAGGTTGAGGTTGGAGGCCATCGCTCTTAGGTTGG